ATATTTATGGTAGCTCAACCTGTTTGGCTCAATTCCCCTTCGTTATAGTTGATGTTGGCAACACTTTCCGAAGAGACTTCTCCTGTCAGAGTCCAAAGTTCCATATAAAATTTGTGGTTATGACAAAGGGGAGTTTGGATCTAGTTTCTTCACCTTTAAATCTAGCTATTCTTTCAGAAATAATGCTGAATGTTCAGTCAATCAAATGTTGAAAATAGAAACATGAATCACAATGAAGTACGTTCAAATAATGGGAAGGAAAACCTTTTGAGATTCTTATATCTGTTGGTGTTTTTTAAATTCACCTTATTGATATTTCATGACTCAAGATGCTCCAATTAGGACTCTGTGATGAAACCTATGAGCATATTTTGTCCATGGTGTGAGCTAAATAAATAAACGTGAGCACTGTGGGACTGACTTTGTCTGCTACAAAAGTTTTTATTATTTTTTTTTATTTACCAAATCATTTAACTTAGCTGATGCGTTTGTCGTGTGGAATGGAATATGAGGGGGAAAACAAAATGTAAAAATGCTTTTAACTTGTGTGACCTCATGTGAGTTCAGAGCTTTTTTTTTTTAAACTAGAGGGTGGTGCATTTACGGGATGCAGAGGGAATGATAAGTATAATTTCCCACATGTGAGGGACAAAATACGCTTTAGAATGGTTTGCATAACGGAACAGTTCGGGAGGGTCTTTAGTGACACAGCTGTGGGCACTCGATATCTCTGAACTGATGAACTCTCAAACTAGTAGTAGAGATGACCTTGCGTTTTATAAATAACAGAAGCACTAGTACTTTCACTGATTTAGAACTCCAGTCACCTAAAATAAGAACTGCATGGGGTGAGCAATACATCAGCATGTCAGCAAATGAAAAAAAATTGGGATGTGACCAAAAGTAATGAGCAGAAAGAGCGTCAGAGATTTATTGGTGGATTTAGATGATCTTTTACAGCAGATTAAAGCTACACCTCAAAAAATCTGGGTTAAGAATCGACTAAATCTAAAATATACACAATTCAATCTAGTTAAAGGTTACAACGGAAATTTTATAATGATTAAAGTGTTCTTTGGAAGCAACACTACTAGTTTTTGTGCTATGACTACTTCACAAACAGAAGGCAAAGGGGGCTTTTCATTCAAAGTAAAGGCGCGTATATCCCCGGTGTGACTTCAGCCGCTGAAGTTCAGCTCTTTGTAGGTGACGTCGATGTCAGCGATCACAGTGGTCATCACGTTTCTCAGGGCCTGCTGCCCGGCAGCATCAAGCCCTGCCTTCTCCGCCATGACGTTAGCAATCACCTCAGTGATCAGCTGTGGGAGACAAAAACACAAAGGAAATAAAAGGTAGATTGTGCTTTTAATGCAGTGTGAAGGCTGCAGAGCCATCTGAGGGAAAACACAATGGATACGTGGCCTCACCTTGAAGTTATTGAGGGGGATCTTATGCTTAGTTGCGTGGCTGGTGGAGAGCGGCTTGAGGATGGAAGCGTGGTTGCCTTTGGCCTTCAGCAGCTCGCCAAGTTTCTTCAACACGGTGGCTCCGTGGGCAGAGATGGCCGCGTTACCAGGCATGTCCCCCAAAGCAATACCGCCAAACTTGGGGAAAAGCTTCTGGGTGTCTGGGTGCTCTGTGAATAAACTGGGAGGGGAAGGATGAGTATGAGTAAACAGTAATATACCACCAGCACTACACAGTTTCAAAGGAGTATTCCAGCTGTCACAGATACATCCAAAACAGGGTTGAAAAGGCTTTCAAAAAGGCTTTTTAAAAAATGTATTGTGACATCCTCCGTGTCTCTTGACTTCAATTAATTAGAATTGATATTTTATTATTAAATTCATTGCTTTTTTATCCACTGCTTTTAACACTTGTGTCAAAACGCATTTATTTAAAAAACACTTTCATCCTAATGTCATAATCTCCTTTGCCGTGTGCGGAGGGAAAAAAATTACATGGGAGAAATCGCTCAATCGATGAAAAACTGACCAATTATTCGTATTCCTTCAGTAATAAGCGTAAGTCTATTTTTCCAGAGGCACTAACCGGGTCAGAACCAGGTTCCCGTGAGCAGAGTAATCAGCTTCCACTGGACCCCAGTGCTTCAAAACCAGCTCATAGTCTGCCATGATCTCAGGAGATTGAGTCTGATCAGGAAGAAATGGATAAAAACACAATTAAAAGTTATTGTTCCAAATTTTAAAAGGAAGAAGTGGTCAAAAACTACAGTTTCCCTACTTTATTACACGGCTGGGTTACACAGACCGCATTCTCTCAATGTCCGGCCCTGCATTTCGACTGTTTGATATGATGGCCTCAAGCCAAGAGCCACTTTATTCAAGGGCACCACATTACCAGGCAGAGTTAGATTCATTACCTCATTTGCCCTCCGTGTATCTGTAATGTAATCTTACCAAAGCTCTGTATAATCTATTCCAAGTTAAATCAAATTAACTGCTGGTTTGCTCTTGAAGTTGCTTCAGGGCCACTAAAAGCAAGTAAAAAAAGAGAGAAGATTTTTCTTTTGAATACAGTTTTTGTCCTTAAGGACAGTCTTCTGTTATGTTTATTCAGTAAGCATCAATTTTGTGAGGGTAAAGAATTCTTTGGGAATTGGGAGTTCGAATTCAGCAAACTTCAGATTTTAATATGCCACCTCATGTCACAAGGACAGTTCCTTTGCACCATGAATATTAAATCAAATCAAACCTGGGAAGAATTTTTTAAAAACCTATTACCTGTTTTTTATCACTCTCTTGCCACCGTTGTGGATTACTGTTTTCTATATATGCTTTTGTGCCCGTGTTTGTCAACAAAACAAGTTTCATTATTTGCCAACGTGGTCTCAAGCAGCTGTTTTTTTTATTACAAATTCAGAGATAAAACAAATAAAAGAGGGCATGACCTACCTGGACGGTAGCGTGAAATATCCTGTGTGGTTATCCCTGATTCTTCTTGGCTTGACTTTCCCCCTCAAAGCTGACCTTATATACTCCCTCCCTCTGTCCTGCCACCAAATTTTTCCAACTCCCATCAGTCCACCTCTCTCACTACATGTCTCTTAACATGTTCTCAGCACCTCTCTGCTTAATCAATGAGTCAACTCGTTACTTTTGGGGTGAAGGATTTTGTTTATCTGTCAATGTTCTGCTAAAACACTATCCCCGTCTTTAATGAAATTATCATGATATTACTTCAAATACAGAAAATTGCTCATAGGCGTGTGTGCATATGTGTTTGGGTGTGTGGGCAGGAAATGCATAATGTTGCATAATGTAATCAATATGTACAGAGAGCTGTTGATTCCTCCTTAAACTTGGAAGTTGCTGCTGTTGAATGGATGTGCAAGATGTCTTATTATCTGTTTTCTATTCTTATGATGTGTACAAATGCAGCTCATGGTGTGAAACTGATGCAAATACATTTTGCCAAAAGGGAGAAATAATGCAGAAAATCCACAGAAAACAGGTAAGGAAGTGTCTGTGTTTTTTTCTCTTGTATCAGTGCAAAAAAATAAAACATTCCATATCACAAAAATGTGCACGTTCATGCGGGATGCAGAGGCTGTATCGCACCAGCAGCTTAATTGTTTATTCTAAACCAGCGCCAATTTTTTGTAATCCCTTTTTCCCAGATCATATCACACAATGCGTGTAAAATAGGCTGGCATGATGTCAAACCACTTGCATCATCAAAATGTATGAACTCATTTGTTATTTTTCGACAGGTGATTTGTATCTTACACTGGAGATATTTGTTTTTCTGGGTAAATTGCTGCTTTTTCAGTGTCATTCAAGTTAAGATGTTGTTTTATAGATCAGATTCTCTTTTGATTCCTGGTTGAAATCCTGGATGAGTCAGCTACCTACTAAAATGGGTTTGAGAGATTTACAATCCTTTTTAGTTTTTCTCATAGCTTTTCTTAAATTGTTCTGAATAATTTATTTAAAAAGAAAGAAAGATAATTACATTTGGTCAGGGTGTATTTATTATAGTTTTTAAATTTATTCTTTGATAGAATTGTTTTTTTTTTTTTTTAAGAGGATTATTTGTAAAAACACCAATATAGTGATTAGATAAAAACAAATGTGTAAGTAATGTGAAAGAAAAGACAAATTATTTACCATACCATTTTTATTGTATGGTTTTGAATGATTTTTTAAATACCGTTCTGATTCATATGAGAGCGTTAAATAGTTCTCAAGTGTTCCCTTTACAGCTGTTGTTTTATTTCAGACTCATTATAATTAATTTCTTTGAGGAAGATCGCATGTCCAATGATCACTACTTAAATAAAGACCAACCTGGATTTAAGCATTTCTGATGCCAACATCTCTGATTGATAAATCATTGTGAGGCTTTTCATAAGTTTAATTATTGTACAATCTGAACATGGCTATGGCTCTTATTATAAAGAAAACAAAGGGTGGGCTTGAAAAGGTTAAAACTAAACCAGAAAGAAGGCTAAACCAAAAAAGGGAACATAAAAACACAAAAAGGACACAAAAACTTGAAACCAAAACCAAACCTTGAAAAGAAGCACAAGACACATTGACAATATGAATATGGCCGGGTAGCATGTAGCAGTGTACAGCAACGATCAGACAAGGAATGAAGCCACGAGAGGGGGGAAACTTGAATAAATACAACACATCTCACAAAACCTGAAAACCACCCCCTTGGACTAGTGTTTTCTCGCATTTATTACAGTGGCCAGTAAAGTTGGAAAGCACAATTGAAATGTCTATTAAATCCATTGCCTTTAAAAAAAAAAAAATTGTAATATTATATCGTAATCTTTATGGTTCTTCCATTTGATACACCTGTGATAATGATGCTGGATCCTAAGCGGGTGCTGAACGTGCCCTCTACTGGTTAAAGCTTGACATCGCATTGGGTGAAAGGTAAGTCCCTCCTCTTCTAAATGCTGATTGGCTCAGATGCTCGTAACACTCCGGAGGCTATCCAATAGCAGCTTAAACTGACCTCATGGTGCGTTCAATACCCGGAAAACACCGGCGAACGTGAAAAGGGGCTGAAAAAGAAGTATTCCCCACTTTTGTTTTTGTTTCGAAAGTTTTTTTTAAATAGGGTGGCGTGCTATTTTCAATAAAGGGCATTCTCTAACATGATACAAGCTTTGAAAGGCGTCAGACACATGGCATCCAGTTCAGTGAAACAAGCAGGTAATCTACTACTTTCTCAAGTGTCTGCTCGCTTTTGAACTTGATGACTCACAGAAGACATTGTGTCCACTATCTTATTCAACATGTTATTTCGTTTGTTAAACAAAAAAGTTATTGTGTTCGTTTCTAAATATTAGTGTTACGAAGTTGTTGCACTCCATAACACAGACTTGAGGTAAAAATGTTCGAAAATTGTCTGTTGACTTGGAGAAAAATAAGTAAGCTATAACAGTTAAACCTCTGGTTTACAATTGTGAAAGTTTTCCTCCTGTTGACCTACAGAGGTAAGAGGTACAGACCCCCTAAAATGTAATAATCCATTGTCCTGCATCCATCCCAAACTTTAACAGGGTACTCTTGAAAATCCCTTCAAAGACAGAAATCCTTGATATCCCTTTAAAAAAAAAAACCTGTTGCCTTGGAGATTTTGAGTGAGTGGTTGATGACCCTTTTCTGTAAAATCAGGAAAGCATCTGAATAAAATAAGCTTCTTTTCTCCATCCAGTTTCAGAGCTCTCTATCCCGGTTCCGTGGGGCGAGATCAGAGGTAAGGTCTGGGGTCCAGATCATGGCCATCCGGTTCTGTGCCTGCACGGCTGGGCGGACAACTGCGGCACATTCAACACCCTCCTTCCACTTCTACCAAAAGGTAACCGCTCCCAGAGCAAATCTTTCTGTCCCACCGCTCACATAAACCTTATTTTGTTCCCCATATATGCTTAGAAACCACAAGCTTTTTTCCCCACAAGCAAACTTAATCTTCCCTTCCTCTAATTCATCACCATGTTCAGCCTCAGTGTGGAGAGCAGGCGGCAAGAATTTTAACCTTTTTCTGCAAATATCAACAACGTATTGGTGTTTTTTTCACCTTTTAAAAAAAATCTACTTTTCAAATTAATTTCTTAGGATCTCTGTGACAAGCTTTTATGCTCTGTCCCTTCAGCTATCAGTACAAATACACATATTTTTTTGTTTTTGAAGGAAAGACAACACTGTTTTTCTCCATCCTTTCACCAGAGTGTAGATACGTGGCGTTTGACCTGGCGGGTCACGGCCTCTCCTCCCATCGGCCCGCTGGGGTTCTGTACGCTTTCCCTTCATACGTGATGGACGTACGCAGGGTCATTGACGGTGCGTGATTGTTTTCTAACGCATGTTATCTTGTATCTGTTGAACCTTTTTAACATTTCTGGTAGAATTTAACATCACAAGAGAATTTCAGATTTTCCCTGCCAATGTCCACCACTTTTTGTGTTTGATAAGAGCTAAGAGTTTCGTTAACCCTATAGGTGTGTGGATACTGCAGTTCCCATGGTTACCGGGGTAATGTAGTACTTTAAATGTGTAAGTGACTCATGGGAGTTACAAAGCAGCTATCAGCCACAGATTATTAGTGTGTTAGTGAGCGGCTTTTCTTTTTTTCCTGTTGCATTACTTGTAAACAGTGCATACATTTCCAGCCTCCAACTTAAATAGCGTCTGAGTGTTTTTTCTGTTTGTTTTAGCCTGAAGATGGCAGTAGAAGCTTTTTTTATGTAAGAATTTATCATCTTAAAAGCAACTCGGCCAGGTTTGAATGGAGAAAAGTCATATATCATCCAACGGGAAGGGCCATAAGCCGCTTCCCGAGCTTATGTTTGAGCCGTGTCATGTGACATCTGAGTGGAAGTTTTTTCACTTCGTAGTTGTTGTTTGCTCATGCATGTCACTATTTTATGACAGCTAGGTTCATAACAGTCAGAAATGCATACCCACTCTCCTCCACCATGGTAGAAATCGCTCCAGTGAGGAAGTTCCGCTTTGTGGTTTTCCTTGAATTTAATAACACGTGACGCATAAGCGTGTCCAGAAGATGAATATTTCAGCGAGCCGTTATAAAGCGTGTCGCCGGAGCTTCTTCACAGCAGCCACGGCTCCCTTGGACTCAGAATGGTCTCAGTGTTTGGTGATGAGATACTGAACCAGGTTGATGATGTGTGAAATTACTCCCGCAGCTCTGCAGTGGAGCAAATTCACCATCATAGGCCACAGCATGGGTGAGTGCAGCCACAGACGAGCAGCAGAAGCCGGAGAGCGGCGCCCTCAGTGCACTCTGATCATTTTCTTCTTCTCATTTCAGGCGGTAACATAGGCGGCATGGTAAGTGATTTACTACATCAGAACTCATGATGGAGTTTGGATAAGACCGTCGTACGTTGGGGCATCACCGTGCGTGTGGCGTTCTCCGCAGTTCAGCGCTTTGTATCCTGAGATGGTGGAGTCCCTCATCCTGCTCGACTCCTATGGATTTTTACCCACTGATGTGGTATTTTGATTTTGTTTTTTTTCTTCGCCCGCACAAGACTTTCATTGCCTTGATTTACCAGCCAATCCCACACACCTTTACACACCGGCTGAAAACTGAACCCAGCCACTCCCCCTCTCAGTGTAATGATTACTTTACCAAAACAGGTAAAAGAGAGACGGATTAATAAAAACAGACAGGGAAAGAGGATAAGAGTTGATAAGATAGGATGTTGGCTTTGAAAAACAAGTCACCTAGTTTTATCTATTGTTAGGGGTCTCTTTGAGTTGCAGCCTGGACTCGCTTTATTCTGTAAAGTAAAAGCACATTAGAGTACTTTTCAGCGTCAGGAGGTGGATAAGAATCACCAAATGTGAGATATCTGGAAAAGACAGCACAATAAGACTTTGACACTTCTACAACTCCTGAATCGGCCTTTTAGGAAAGTGTCTGTTTTATTTAGAAAATTGTAAAAACAACCAAGCCGCAGGGTTTAGCCGGGGGATAGTTTTAAAGCCATCACACATAGGGCCCTCTGTTCAGCTCTATTTGATACATTTAGTTTGACTTTTTATCAAGTTTTCAATTGGGGAATCTAAATTGAAAGTCCCATTGGCTCTCTTTCAATAACTTCATATTTTCAAACCCGAATTCAACAGATCCCCTTACTTAATTCTCCCGCAATATCATGTTCCAGTCAGGGTCTGTTAGGGCATCCTTAATGGCAACATTTAAAAATAACCTGAACAAGAATGATCCCACTCTTTTGGTACATTTTTCGTTAATAATTTTGGTTAGAACTAGCACCTCTTTGGGGCTAAATAAAGAGCAAGGGTGAACTTTGAAAAAGAGCAGCGACCAGTGAATTGGTTTCTTTTGAAGTCTAATTTGATTCCTTTTTTTCCTTGTCACTTGAGCTGGAAACGCAGAGCTTTGGCTACAATTACAAGTAGCTGCTCAGTTTCCGAATGCAAATACTACACACATTACTGCTTTTCCCGCCGAGCAGCTCAAACAGCTGCTACGGTGACCTCCGGCTAAGATTAGTTTGATATGAGCTAAAGGGCTTCATTACCAAGCCTCATGAATTTTACATTGGGAACAGATGAAGAAAATATGGTGGTTATTTGACATTTTAAAAGCCATTACAGTAAAGGAGTGCTCTCAGTCACCAATGAAATTGAGTCTGGTGCTGTTTTGTCCTTTAGGCCTATCCTTAGGATTCTCATTATTTTCTCGCATTGTGCTTGACAATAATAGCACACAGAGAACTGGTTTGTGTGTTTGTGTGTGGTCCACTTTTTGTCTGTTTTCTTCCTGTTGGCGTCATTTGTTTCTCTTTCGCAGAAAGAAATGCCCAAAGTGTTGAGGCAGGGTTTGGACGAGATGCTCCATTACGAAAAGAAAATGGAAGACAAGAGGAAAGTTTACACTTACGAGACGGCAGTGGAGAGGTAATGGCTCGATTCAGTTTCAGCTGCTGGAAAAGGCCGTTGGGTATTGTCTCACGCAGTAACTTTTGTGTGCAACCCCACAGGCTTCTGTCTGGAAACCGAAGTCTGTCTGTACAGTCGGCAAAAATCCTCCTGGAGCGAGGTTTGGTGCAAGTGGAGGGAGGTACATGTTTGTCTCTTCTCTGATCCGTTTTGGTCTCCTGTGCTGAAGGTGTAAGAGATTTAAAAACTGATTTTTTTCTTTTTCCTCTCACAGGGGTGGTGTTCTCTCGAGACTTTCGCATTAATCTGGTAGGTTAATGTTAAACGGACGTTTATCTTAACTCCCACAGGAGCGCCGTGCAGCTCATGAAATGTCGTTTGCTTTCAGAAAAATATAGCCCGCATCAGTTTGGACCAGAGTCTGGAGTTGCAGTCGAAGATAGCAGCCTCTGTTATGGTTGTTCTGTAAGACAGTCCCCCGCTTCATATTGTCTCATCACACTTAAAGTGACAGAATCCAGCACATCTGTCATGTCGGTTATGTCAAGGTTTTGGCCCGACTCGACTTAAAAAACACACTGCCTGGTCTATCTTTGTGTAGATGTATAACCATTTTAATATTACACTTTATGAAGTTCCCCAGTCTTATAATTAGATGGATAAAGCATTTGACAAACTCCAACACATATAATGGCATTAAAACACATTAACAGGATTCAATAAGGGAAGCAGTAATCAGGTCCTGCTGATCAAATGTCCATCTGCAGCAATTTTAGAGAAGCAACTGGCTCTTCCATTTGAGCTGAGAAGCGTTAAAAGACGATTTCCAAATAATTTGGAAGTCCAAATGCTCCTATTAGAGAGACTTCTGTGAACTGGAACACATTAGAAATAAAGTGCATTGGACGTGTCCAAAATGTACATCTGAGACTCCACAGTCCAAAGTAAGCCCCTAAGATGTTTAGCTTCATAAGGATACCATTAGGGGAAAAAAAGACGGTTTGGATTTTTGCTCAAAGAAAGCCTGTTCTCTTTAAAAAGTAGGCTTTCAGGTCACTATTGATTTTGTAAAATTACACCCAAACAAAACCACAACAATGTTGGGAAAAGTATGTTAGACATTGATACCCATATTGTTCAGCATTTGAGCGGAAGCTCGATGATTTGCCTGAAACTGAGTAATGCAACAGGACAAACAAAATAGAGATATTTAGTTAAATCAAGATATTTCATTTGTTCGAAAGTCCAAACTTCGACTTGGACTGAAAGCTGTGAAAGGACCTTAACAGGGTAGTCTATCGGCAAAAGTCCGAAACCGTCACCTCAATGGAGCTTTGTAAGAAAATCTGAAGAGAACATCACACAGATACTGATTACTTCCAGTGATCTCTGGTGGTTTTAGAAGCTGCAGAGTCATTGGATGTAGTGCTTTAATGTCTCGCACTGTTCAATCGAGGTTGTATTTATGTGTTTTCAAAGAGCTGCCGAGAACCAGCCAAGCTTGTGATGCTTAAAAACACAACTGCAGCCTTTGTTTTCTTTACAGAGCTGGAAGCGGCATGGAGAAAATGTTCGCTGAGCCGGAGCAGAAGAAATTTACAGGAGCGCTTCTTCAGGGCTACAGGGACAGAAATGTGAGTGCCGGCGTGTTTATGCAAAACAAGGCCGTCTGCATCCTCTCGTCTATTTTTAGCTGTCAAGCCCGCGTGTAATTGAGCCTAACGGACCTACAGACGGCTTCAGCCGCTCCGCTACGAGCACATTGTCTCTGAGGCGGCAGAAATGTTGATATCTGCGAACCTCAGCGCTGACCTACATTCTGCATCTTGGTCCACTGGAGCTGATGAGAGGGAACAGAGGGTGTACGTCCCCACTGACGGGTCGTACATTTTTTTTTCTGTGGGGGAATTGTGAGAACTCTTTTTGCACAAATATACAGCTCATACGGCTTAGTCTAAGTTTAAACCATCATGTCAGGCAGCTGCTCTAAGCAAAGAAACTCTGAAAGTCCCCTGTTTCCTACCTAGCTCAGGATTTTAAAGCACACAGGTAGAAACCACTCATCCAACACAGTGAAGCATTTTGCAGCTTAGGGGGATCAAGATTTCCCACAGGAGTCCATATACTTCACAACAGAAGGTGCCCACAATTGGTCCTTGAGGGCCGCCATCCTGCAGATTTTAGAAGGTTTTCCTGCTTCAACACACCATTATCAAGCTTCTGCAGAGCTTCTGAACTGTCCCAACAGTTAGTCTGGCCCATGCTTTTCCCATCATTTTGTTTTGTTTCCTTTAAAGCAGAAACAACCATCAAACTCACATCGTTCCTTCTCCTCATGTTCAATTTAAGGCCTGAACGGCTTTGCAAATAGTTCACCTTTTTTTTTTAACCTTATTTATTTTTTAGCTGCCAAGTCCACAGACTGCTCGGTTTATATTGTAGGCTCTGGCAATGGCAGTATAAGTATGATCAGTATAGCAAAAGACCACAATAAATGAAAGGCTTGAATCGCCTTTCGCAGCAAATATTTTATTTGTAAAACTAGCAGAGAAGCACCCGTGTAGTAATGAGGGCTTTTATTCACTTTGGAAGTTGAGTACTTGCTGATGTATTTGCTGGGATTGTTTGGACACTGTCATGCAATTGTGATGCTTTTTAGAGCTGTTAACATTTACGGGCCTTGCCTTTAAGGAGACACAGTTGTTCCCCTCTCCACTAGATATCACAAAAGGCACTCGCTTTTAACCATTATCCTAAGCATATTTCTCCCTCGTCGTCTGCATTTCAGCACACGGTGGTGACGGTGCCGGGCGATCACCACGTCCACCTGAACAATCCCGAAGTGGTCGCTCCTCTGGTTTCAAACTTCCTGCAGGACAAAGTGCTCCCAAACTCATCATCATCAGTGGACTTTCAGGCCCCTAAGTTATAATAAACACAAACGAGTTTAAGTTTTTATACATAATCAATGTCACACTGCTATTTTTAGTAACTTTAATTAAAAGTTTGAGCTCTTGCATTAACCCTATTACCACCCATTCGGTGCTTGAAAGTGAGTTAACATGCAAATGTCTTTTAAGTTACTATAGGTTCAGTGCTGGATGATAACTAATGCATACTGCTACTGTTTAATTGAGGAACAGTTGCACTGTATGCCTTTCTTTAACTTCAAGTGGTTTATAAATTATTAAATGGAGAATGTTGGGTGAGAAGATTTTTGCTGAAAATGCTGTGTCTCAAGAGAGAGCTTTGGAAAAGTACAGACCTTACTGTGCCGTTATAATTTGGGTGAGTCATTAATCATTTTCTGCTCTGTATCATGAGACAAGGACTTGAATAAAAACAGAATACCAAATATGTTGCTCATGTAGAAAGTAAGGACAGTTTTCAAAGCATTTCTTTCATAACCCAAACTAATAATAAAAACAGAAAAGTAACAGTTACAAACAAGTTTTTTTTGCATGATGAATTGTGACGATGTATGATATCATCATAATTTAATGTACATTCTAATGGGTATTTAAAAATCTATTTTCATGGTTCATCTATTTCATGTTTCACTGTATTTGAGGCTTTTGAGATTATTCAGTTCGTCAATTCTTTATGTTGACTTATCTGTGTTGGTAAACCTGTGTGAAGAACAAGTCTTCTGGAATAAACTTGATACGATAAACGGATAACACCAGCAGGTTGTGAAAAGAAAACCTCTTTTTTTCCAAAGTAGTTGCTGTTTTATTTTTAACTGCCTTTAACTGATGTTTGCTTTTTTTATATATATTATTTATTTATTTATTTATCTATTTTTAAATATATTATATTTTGCCCTACCTGGGCTGCCACCTTTTCGTGGTGGAGGGGTTTGACTGTTCCAATGATCCTAGGAGCAGGGCTTCAAGCGCCTGGTAGGGTCACCCAAGGCAAACAGGTCCAAGGCGAGGGATCAGACGAAGCGCAGCTCAAAGACCCCCTATGATGATCTACATAAATGGATCTAGTGTCTCCTCGCCCAAACGCGGGCCACTGGGGCCCCACTGTGGAGCCAGGCCTGGAGGTGGGGCACGTCGACGAGCGCCTGGCGGCCGGGCTTTCACCCATGGAGCCCAGTTGGGCCCAGCCTGAAGACGCCACATGGGTCTAACTTCAAATGGGCTCACCACCCATAGGAGGGGCCAAAGTGGTCGGGTGCAATGTGTTTCGGGTGGGGGCCAGAGGCGGGGACCTTGGCGAACCGATCCTTGGCTGCAGAAGCTGACTCTAGGGGCTTGGAATGTCACCTCTCTGATGGGAAAGGAGCCTGAGTTGGTGTGAGAGGCTAGACGTAGTAAGTGCCACCTCGACCCACAGCTCTGGCTCTGGAACCAGCCAACTTGAGAGGGATTGGACGCTCTTTTATTTTGGAGTTGCCCCCGGTGAGAAGCACCGAGCAAGAGTGGGCATACTTGTTGCCCCCCATCTTGGTGCTTGTACATTAGGGTTCACCCCGGTGAATGAGAGGTAGCTTCCCTTTGCCTTCGAGTGGGGGGATGGGTGCTGACTGTTGTTGCTGCTTATGCGCCTAGCAGCAGTGCGGAGTACCCACCCTTTTTGGTGTCCTTAGAGGGGGTGCCCTTCCTGGGTATTCCCTTGTTCTACTGGGGGACTTCAATGCTCATGTGGGCAATGACAGTGAGACCTGGAGGGGTGTGGTTGGAAGGAATGTCCCCCCCCAAGCTTGAGCCCAATGGGTGTTTTGTTGTTGGACATCTGTGCTTAGCACGGATTGTCCATAATGAACACCATGTTCAGGCATAAGAGTGTTCATATGTGCTCTTGGCACCAAGACAACCTAGGCCGTTGTCGTTTCAGCTGATCTGCGGCCGCATGTCTTGAAGACTCGAGTGAAGATGGGGGCAGAACCTTCCACTGAGGATTACCTGGTGTTGAGTTGGCACCGATTGGTGGGGGAGGAATGCCGGTGAGACCAGACAGGCCTGTACGCATGGTGGAGTCCCCCCCTGGTGGGGTCCCCTGTTGGGCGGAGCTTTAACTCCCACCTCTGGGAGAACTTTGATCATGTTCCGGGGGAGGTCGGTGTTCCGTGCCTCCAACGCGGCTTCCCGGAGCTGCGGTCACAGGGTTGTTGGTGCCTGTCGTGGCGGTAACCCTCGAACCTGCTGGTGGACACCAGCAGTGAGGGATGCCGTCAGGCTGAAGAAAGAGTCCCGTCAGGCCTTCTTGGCCTGTAGGACTCTAGAGGCAGTTGATGGGTATCAGCAGGTTGGTTGCCGAGGCATAAACTCGGGCGAGGGAAGAAGGAGGCCATGGAAAAAGACTTCCGTATGGCTTAAAGGCGATTCTGGTCCACCGTCCGGCATCTTTGGGGGAGGAAGCAGTGCTCCACCAACACTGTTTACCGTGGGGGTGGTGCGCGGTTGACCTCAACTCGTGACGTTGTGAGTCAGTGGGCAGAGTACTTCGAAAACTTCTCAATCCCACTGGCACGTCTTCTATTGGAGGAGCAGAGCCTGGGGATCTGGTGTTGGGCTCTCCAATCTCTGGGGCCGAATTCACCAAAGTGGTCAAAAAGCTCCACGTGGCAAGGCTCCGGGGGTGGATGAGATTCGGCCGGAGTTCCTCAGGGCTCTGGAAGTTGTAGGGTTGCCTTGGTTGATGCCACTTTGCAATATCGCGTGGACATCACGGACAGTTTTGCTAGATTGGCAGACTGGGGTGGTGGTCCCCCTATTCAAAAAGGGGGGCTGTAGAGTGTGTTTCAACTACAAGGGAATCACACTCTTATGCTTCCCTGGGAAGTTCTATTCAGCGGTTCTGGAGAGAACAGTCCTTCGGATAGTCAAACCTCGGATTCAGGAGGAGCAGTGTGGTGTCTGTCCTGGCTGGGAACGCTGGACCAGCTCTATACCCTCAGCGGGGTCCTGAAGGGTGCATTGGAGTTCGCTCAACCAGTCGATATCTGTTTTGTCGACTTGGAGAAGGCGTTCGACCGTGTCCCTTGGAGAAACCGGGGGGGGCGCTGTTCCGGGAACATGGGGTATCGGGCCCTTTGTTACAGGCTGTTAGGTCCCTGTAGGACAGGAGTCAGAGCTTGATTTGCATCGCCTATATATATATATATATACACTATTTGGTTTGATTTATTTGATTTCTTTTTTTCTTCTTTTGTTTTTGCTGTCCAAGACTCTTCTCATCCATTTACTATTCTACAACGGAACATTTGGCTGATTACAAATGGGTAAGGAGATAACCCTAGGCTGAACTATTAAGTTTTTATTCCTATCCTGGCTTTATTCCAACTTTATTTGGATGAAGTTCTTCCCCTCATGACAGTAAACCCCAATTACTTTCTAGTAATAAGGGAGAAGTAAAGTAGTTAGAATCTAATAGGAACTGTGGAAAATGGCCAGCTTTGCCATTGAAAGACAGAATGATTATTGTAATCGTTACCAGTGCCAAAGCTTTGCAGGCTCAGGGCATTCAGGAATTTGATCATAGTTTTGAGTGAAAAGCATTTTAAATGTGTGGAGGAAAGCTTAGCTGGAACAAATGTAATGGAATCAATTGCAATCACAAAGATTGTAATGTTCCTCCACAACTCCAGTTTAAAAATAGTTGGGAAGTAGTATGAGTAGAAACAATAAAGTGATTTCTAATTCTCACAAACCAATATTTTGTTAGCAGCGGAAGTGTTAGGCATTTTACTGTATCAAAGAAATATATATGCAATTTTTTACGGTATGACAAGAATTCCACCCACAATGGTTTGGAAAAATTTGGACATTAGCATTTGTAGCTTTAAAACCTATAATAATGGACCCCTCGTGCCATAATGGATTAAGGCTTTAGAACAAGGCTTGGCCTTGAGTTGGCTGATATATTCTTTTCTGAAACATTTCATTTAAATGTTGTATTATCTGATCTAACCTTTGTTTTATATAAGCGTTGGTCTAGAGATGAACTAAATGTTTCCAGATATGGCTTCCTCTTTGTATGATAGAGTTTTAACCTGTAAATGTGGTTGAAAGTGTTCACAAACACAACAATCACAGACACTAGAGAAGTGTTCCTGAGCTAATGCACAGATTTCCATGCCAGAATAATACTGGGGGATGGAATATTACATCAATCTGATACTGATAATAGTAGATAATGGACATTCTTCACAGTTTTACATGGAGAGACATTTTTCTGAAATTAGTCAACTGTTTGTGGATACCGTTGCTGCAGATTGTTGAACCTTACCAATCTTGACCTTAGAGATACTCTGCCTCTTTAAGGTTTTCTTTAGACGCAGTTTTGAGTCTTTTACTGATTCAATTGTGCACCATTTTGTTGAATGGACCAATCATGGCAACCTTTTGCCATGACTTGTTGCTGTCTTTGGATTAGAAATGATTATGTTAATAAAGCATAAATAACGAGGAACTGTTTGATATTTTTGCACGTGGTCTATGTTTTCCGATGTTGCAAATATACATATTGAAAACTGACTATCTTTTTTTAACCCAATTAGACACAATTTCAGTGTCTGAAAGCTTGGCCAAGTGGGGCTTCTCCTTTTGTTACAAAGTTTTTCTAAAATCCTTGAATATTCATTCATCCAGACTGTAAAAGAGGGAAAGGAAGGCCAGCATGCAACATACATAATCTTCAAGCCACAACGTGAAATAAAATTAACCATTTAATATTAGATCACAATAATTTGATCAGCAATGAATAGATCTCAGTCATTTTTTATTAAACCAATTTTGTTCTACTATCTTCTACCATTTCAGAAATGTGAAGACAGTGTGTGTACGTAAACGCTTTAACTTGATAAATAACTGACATTTCTCAATTAATGCAACATCCTCATACAACCGCTGCAGTGAGAAAGCTCGGCTCTTCAGTCGAACTCGATCCACTTGCTTTTTAGGAATTTGTTTCCAGGGCGGGCTGTGAAAAGGGGCTGTGGAAGAAGGACGATACACTCCAAAAGCTTTCCGTTATATAGGCCATCCTCTCATCTTTTGTCTCGGCAGGAAGAGGGGAAAAACGAACATGTGGGGAGTGAGTGTTAAACACTGCAGCCGCTGTCGGTCAGAGTGGAATCATAAGAGACATTTTTGTATCTTATGATCCCCCCCCCCCCCACACACACACACACACACACACACACACACCCTTCTTGCTCAATGTCACATAAACTGTTGGATCGCCCCAGTGTTAAATGGGGTGGAATAGATTTTATGCAGTGAGCAGCAAGGAGGCGAGAAACCATAGACATCTAAAGGGCTTAAACTTCCCCCCCCACACTCCCCCCAACCCACCACCCCCCAAAAAAAAAATTATTATAGTTATATAAGTTGTCCTCCCACTCCCTCCATCCTTTCAGCCATCAGCACCAGAGCGTTGTCATGGCGACGCCGGCCCCTCCTCTGAACGTCAGAGTCGGGCGCTGGAGAGGATGAAGCCGCATGCAGCCTCCGTCTCTCAGTGAGCACCTGTGATTCCTGCCAGCCCGCATGCAACAGCGGAGCTTTCGTGCGCCGAGATTAGATTCATCCCGCGGTTTCTTCCGACCGGCCGCCTGCTGACTCTGCGAATCGCTCCTCAAACTCCTCAGCGACCGACCCGGTCGAGCACCGTCCACAGGTATGATGCCACAGGGCTATTCAATCCCGTCCGTGTCTCTTTTTGTGCACATGTGCCAGTCAGCCGGGTCAGGTATCTCCATCCGATACAGGTGATGGTGATTTTGGACAATCTGAATGATAGGATTTTAGGATTTTTCTCTGCAGGTAATGAATGTACAGCAGTCTGTATTGCGTATTTGTAAGATTTGGAGTAACTGTTCATCCAAACCCCTCTCCACATCCCTCATCCTGCCTCCCTCCCCCCTTGCCCTTTCCGTTATTCTTCTGCCCTCCAGTCCTCCTGCGCCGTTCCCATCCCTGTGCGCCCCCCCCCACCCCCTTGACAGCCGCTATGTCCTGGTTGTTCCTGGACTGGTTCGTGCCCCTGTACCTGCTGGTGTCGGTTTTGGTGCTGGCGGGCTTCGGAGCGTGCCTGTACTTCCTCGAGCCCGGGCTGCAGGACGCGCACAAATGGAGCAACAAAAGCATTCGGCATCACCCGCTGGTGGCCAGCGTGAACTGCGGAGATGACGATAGCAATGCCCTGATATGATATGATCCAGGGGGCAGGGCCGCAGGTGCGACACCGAGAGGACACTTGGCCAACACCTAGAAGGCTGAAAAAGAAAGGACGAGACAAAAGGAATTGATCTGATGTTAAAAAAAAACTGTATTCTTTGCCATTCCAACCTCTCCCTGCTCCCTGTTGATTTTTGCTGCAGGGATCAGGGAAAAGTGAAGCAGATTTTATTTTATTTTTTTCTCCAAACGATTTTTAAAACGATGCCAAAAGAAGAGACTGCCTGCAGAAAGTGATCGCAAGTGGAGGAAATGTTGCCCTTTAGCGTTTGTAAATCTCACGTCATCTTATACTTGTGCCAAACTTGTACATACATTTTGTAGTTTGACAATCACTTTTCGTGTACCATGGAGTTTACCTATATTGTGCAATTGAATCCAAATGAGGTGGCTGATGTTAGTGCAATGACTCTGCTTCCACTGGGGAGGGCTTTTAATCTTCTCCCTGATGGCAGCATGGCAGCTGCTGAGACGCCTGTGGATTGTGAGTGCTGCTGTGCCAAAATGGTGTAACACATTAGAATAATGTGCTCCAGATAAATCCAAGTGACGCGAGGTGCCAAGGTAGCATTAGATGAGCCGAGACGGAATAAAAAATAGCATTCGGTGGTCTGTCCTTTGTTTTTACTTGACAGCATGATGAGGAAACTGTGTATGTAAGACCCCTCTTCTGCTGATCACACGCCTCTTTTGTTCATACGAAAATAAAACTGTTCAATCTAGTTAAAGCCAGCAAGTCTTTGAATTTCTTATAAAAAAAATTTCCAACCCTCGGTTGCCCTTTTAGAGAAAAAAGACTTTAACTTGAACAACCTCAAGCTTTATGCAACAATGGTTAATAGCAGATACCACTGAAGTGGTTTTGTTTTCTTCATTACCTCTTAGAGGCTTCGCACTGTTTACTCCTCTGATGGTATGTACTACTCCCAAATAAGATACTGCAATAAACATAAATATTGCCGGCCATTTTCATGATTGAACTTGAAAATACTATTTTGGTTGACTGCAAGAAATCTCCCAGTCGAAGATCAGAAATGTATAATAACATATATGACTTAAGTTTTTATTCATTATTATGTGAGGGTGTTCACTTTCCTTTCTAATGGGAGCTCATATCCTCAAATAGTTTTTAAAAAAGGGGCTAAAATTCTGTCATTTGTTTTAGATAGAATACACATTATTCTGCTACACAGTACAAACACAACATGTTTTTTTTCTATCACAGTGAACAAATAAAACTGGTAACTGTTTGTCCTCATAAGAATGACCCATACATCCTTCTAACTATCCTCCTACACACGGCTAAAGAAAAACCTGCATTTCTGCTCAGAAGTCAACATCATTTCAAAGTGTTTCCCTTAAAAAGAAGGGAGGTGGAGTGGATTTCGCAATACGCTACGCTTACAAAGAGTTCAGCTCTCAGACAACCCATGTTTGCAGTTATAACACAACAGCACTTTACTAAAAAACAATTCCTGGTGCAATCAAGGCAGTACAGTCAAAGCTTGGATGTGGCTTGACATTTCACATGCACCCTGCCCACCTACAATTTGAAGATACAAGATTTTAGATTATGTAGTTTTTTCATGACACTATGCTGATAATATGCCATTGAACGGAGCCCGTTACAGTACAAAGGGTCCCTGCCTTGTTGGGAACTACTTGGCTGAAAAGGACAATGATTGGCTAAAGGCCATTGAGGATATGGGAGGGTTAGGGTTATGACAAATGAAGGATGAAGGGGTTAGAGGGTTTACAACAGGGATGAACATCTGCTTTATTAAAATTAAACTACGGTGAAGCACTTCTGGAGCAGGACATGCAGAACTACGGACTGAAAGAATGAGCAAGGGAACCAAACAAAACACAATCTACACTGAAGGAATGATAAGAGAAATGAGCAATAGGTGGCATAATAACTGGAGTGTATGGGGCAACAAAACCTAATAACAGGAGGAGCAGAGCAAAAAAGTTCAAAAGTTAACCAAGAAACTGCATAAAAGGTCAACACATAAATTCAGAGCATGACAACAGCAGCTACACTTGAAAAAAACTACGGCAATTAAAATGTTATTTGAATGCAACAAAAAGGCATCCTGCTCAGTCTTAAAAGAACTTCTTGCCGCCGCCTTTGTTGTTTGACTTGAGTAGGATTCTGAATGCAAGTCTGCTATGCGATCAGACGGGCCGCACAGACCACACTCAGACTTCACAGTCTTCCCCATGAACCAAATCAAACGGGACACGCGAGTGGGAGTGAAACAGAAAAGGCTCAGTGCAGAGGAATGGAGAGAATGGCACTTGGCGTGCCCACCGCTTCCTACTGCTCTCCTCGCCGTCTTGTTTACTCGTGCAGCCTGACAGCAGCAGAGACGAAGCGTCGAGTTCCAGGTTGGTCCTTTTTAACTCAACTTGAACAAAAAAAAGTTTTTTTTCTATTTCAAAGTGGAAATATCTAGGTTTCTTTTGTCAACCTGTTGCCTCTAAAACCTGACCTCAGTTAACCGGAAGACGGTCGGTAGACAGATGGATCGAACTTTGTTTCAGACTGCAAATAAATGCATTCATTTGGTATGTTTTATTGACCATTTCCACTATGAATGTAGTCAGATAATTGTTCTGCTTTATATTTTGATGGCGGAAAAAACTTGTGACAAAACAGAAACAAAAACATCAGGTATTATAAGAAATAGGAAAACTATCCAACAAAGACCTGTCAAAGGGGTTTATCCATGTGCTTTTTTCTGAGTCTCATCAGGCACTAAAGAAAGGTGGCTGTCAAGAAATTATTCCTTGTGGAGGGAGAAAAGTGGAAAGGCTAAGGTATACCAAATGACATGACAATTGGATTGAAAATAAATGGAAAAAGGTCTTATGAAGGGTCGGCTTATCCCCAGAGCCCAGCCCTTACTGAAGTAGTGTGGGACTGTGTTGAGAGAAGATGGAACAAAAGCCAGTCCTCCATGAAGCCTGGAGAACTGTGCTTTAAGACTTAAAATGACATATAACACAACCTTTACTTTACACCTTTACTCTTAAACACAGCCATAGATAATATGGCTGTGTTTAAGAGTAAAGGTGTAAAGTAAAGGTTGTAATGAATAAGAGATACAAGGTTTTGGTCTGTAGTATGGGGGGGTTATCACTGCTACCAGACAGCTTGAAGACTTGAAAGTTTGACTGAGATTGTTTCCACAATTAGAAGAAAGCTTGTACAGTTTCAGACAGCTTCAACTAACTTTGAAGCTATTGATTTTTTATGTATATATATATAACAGTCATTTGGGGTCTATTTTGTTACAATAAGTATTGATCTATTCTCCCCTGCTATGCTTTGACTAAAGTATGATACAAAATCAAGATGTTGTTTAGGCAAGATTATTTAATTGTACTGACACTGGTACTGATATGGGAACATCTTCCACGGATTCCCAGATTATATCAGTTGAAACATTTTACTGAAATGAAACTCTCTTTGCCTCCCTTTTTTTGAATTCTCCAGCATTCTTCATCTCTTTCTTCCCGGCTTCTTTGATACAGAATGAGTCTTTTTCATCGTCTGGCACCTTTCATGTCAGAGGGAACTGATCCCTGCAGGCACACGAATGAACATCCAAAAGTCTGTCTGTCGCGTCCTTTGGCTCTGTCTTCCCCTGTGGTCAAGAAGAAGACAATTCAGATTCCATCTTTTGATGAGAGGGGGCTCATCTTTGAGAGGCATAACGCAAAACTGTCAACAGCCGAGAGGTAAGTTAATGCGCTGCTCTTTCGCTGTCAAAATTGAATCTGCTACACAGTGGTGATTTGACAGTTCACGCATTTTCCTCCTAGATCATGTGATTCGGTTTTCGCCAAGACGTCTGTCCCGAGCTCATGGAGTAAAGCGTGTCGGCAGAGAGACAGCGGAGAGAGGGCTTCAACCCTTCCAAGGGTAAAATCCAAAGCACACAGCTCTCAGTCCCTCTCTGCAAAGCCCAGCATCGCTATCTCTCCTGCACCAGAGCCAAATTCCCCTCCCACTCCCCCCCTTCTCAAATCAAAGCCAAGCAGTTCTCTTCATCTCCCAGCTTCGCGGTCGATGGATTTTTCCCCAATACTGCACCGGCCCGAGCCAAAGCCCAGCGTGTCCCCGACGCTGACCGTCCCGACACCCAGACTCAGTCCGTCCCCGACCTCCCAAAACTCGGACGGGCCAGGAGGCCGCCAGCCTTCTCCCGTCGCCAGAGAGAGACGCGCCCGATGTATCCCCATCTCGAATACCAAAGTGGAGCCTTTAGGGGTGGCGAAACATGAAGTTCTCGACCAGGGAGCCTTGCTGGACTTCACTCGTCCCGGGGCGAGAAGAGCTCGTCCCGCGATGAGCAGAGAGTCCCGACATCAAACCCACGCACCTCACAATCCCAGATTACTGCTAAATCAAGTTGAAACAAACGAAAATGAAGACACTGCCAAAAATAAACCACAAACACCGACTGTGAATTCAGACAATGCCGCAATGCCTAAATCAAACATCAAACAGCAGCGAAAATGTCAATCAAGCGATTCAGCAGAGTGCTCTGAAGTCGTTTACAGAGGCTCACAGCCAGGGTTTTATGGACTGGCTAGGCAGGAGAGCAGTTATCCCCAAAGCTCAGATTTTATCTCCAGTCACCAATCACGTGAAGAAATGTACTCTGGGAAAAGCATGGCTCTCAAAAAGTCAGCAGGGCCTCCTTTAAGTCTCTTCTCAGCCAACAGTGAAACGAGGGGAAAACAGCTTGATCTGCTTAATGAAACACCGGCGGTTCCATCAAGGCCTATCCACAGAAGGCCGTGGGACGTAAACGAAAGAAAGACGTCTTTAGGGAACTCGCCTGAGCCTTTTCAACAAGTTGGTGAGTCTCAAAGCATCGAGGCTCTTCATAAAGGCAGATTCTCATCGGAGAGCCGGGATCTCACTGCCCAGATGGATGGAAAGTGTTCGGTAATCCGGCCTCCCTGTGTGTCAAAGGATTACAGCTGCCAGTCAAGGGTAATCGATCTGCAATCGGAAGACGCTCAGTGCGCACACGGATTAAATAGATTTAAGACACGTCTGTTGGCATCTCAGACCCGTGAGGCCTCCCATCCAACGTCCAGGGGAGCCGTATTAAAGCCTGACCTACAGCCTCATCGGTGTCGTTCAAATCAAGAAAACACCCCAGAGCAACACAACAGCCACCTGGAGCGCGACGCCAGGGGGAAAAGTCTGAATCACACTGATGTTTCAGGACCACCTGACCACCACGTGGTGCCAAAACAATTGCTGGAACATCCCGGGCGCCCATCCGTGGCACCCGGCCTGTTCGACACAAACAGCTTTGGCAGCGGCTCAAAGAGGGTATTCGATTTGCCACAGGACAGAATATACCAGAGGCCATATTCAGCAACTTCTGCTCAAATGCATCAGCTTAGGTACTCTGTCACAGATAGAGCGTTTATTACGGAGGATTCGGAGGATCCCTATTATGTCACCATGTACTACCCAGGTTCAGTGTATGTGGGTGAGTACAAAGAAACTAAACTCTTTGACTAACTCAAACTCAACGCTCAATCTCCCAAGTCAAGTTTATATTCTTAGTAGGAGTTCAATAACTCTCTGTCTATGGGAGTGGGGGCTCAGACGAGGGGGTGATAAAAGAGGATAGCGGGGGGGATAGGGGACACAGCTCCTTATCAGCGGAGTAACAGATGCACTGCAGAGGGAGAAGTGACGGTGGTGGTTAGCTGAGTGTAAAAGGGAACAGGACAGGAAGACACGCCAAAGCAGTTTTTTTTCTGCAGAGGCACACAAACCAGGCAAAAAAAATGCAGGGAGGAAGGCGAAGGAGGAACAAGAGGAGAGCCACTCTGAAGTAAAAGTGTGAGTACCGTACTGCAGAGAGAGAACTGCCTCTTACACCTGAGGGAAACCTTTTAAATACTGCGCAATAATCTTTGGTTTTGTTGCTTAGTAGCAAAGGATCGAGCTTTAAAAAGTAAAAATAAGGCGTCTGCGTCTCCTTTGCACGCTTAGAGCCACCATGGTCTCATGAGTGAAGCAATATAGGTTTGTGGCCCCATGGCAAAAGCTGTTTTTTAATGTATTCAGCTGGGTTTATTTGAGGGGCTTTCACAGGAGCAGAAAGGGGGCAATGCTGAATATTTTCGTCTGACAATACAAACACAAATCCAGGACCCTCGGCCAACTTTGTCCAGAGCTTTCCTCAGCTACATCTGTTTGTCATCTGTTTTTGTTGTCATGGGGGTGGCTCTGTTGCTATGGAAGAGAGCAGCTGCTGGTTCAGACTAAAAAGTATCTAATGATTTAAAAGAAAATGATAAGGAAATATGTATGTGGCTGATTTTTTTTCTCTGTTGTACAATGACAGGGAGTTGAATTCATAGAGTGTTGTTGAGAAAATTCATAACTTTATGTCTTCTTCCCAGCATGGATGGGAAAAACACATGAGCAAACCAGATTGTTTTTATTTTTGTCTGTCTTTTTTCTTCTGGTGTAGCGTGAGGAGTCTAAAATTCCAAATTATTTTTGACTGTGATATGACATGATACTGCATAGCATAAGATAAGGCATAAGGCTTTGCAATCAAGTCCAATTATGACAAGAGTAATGCAACTATTTTCAAATAAAGACATTTGATAAATCGTCTAACAATAATGGATGCTGTTAGATCTGCTACTTTACCCACTAAAACAGCGGTGTATTGAAACATATACAAACTGTCATGGAAAGAAGGAATATGAAGCAAAACAGAAGTTCTCCTATTTTTTTTAAAGATATCCCCATGCTCTTTTTGGACAATGACTGGCTTTTGTGTTTAGTTCTCTGTTAGTATATCCAGAGCTGTTTCAGTTATGTTGAGCTATAAGCTCTGTGGAATGATCTGTCACAGGTACCATTTGTTTTTTAATTTATTTTAATTTATTTTTTATTTTTACAAGAAATATTTTTCAAGCAGCTGGATGGGAGACAGCATATTGTGTTACTTGTGGGACCATAGTTACACACTTGATGTATGCAGATGATTGCAATTTTTAGTTCCTATAATGTTGGTCTTCAACAGGTTTTCAGAGTGTATTGATCACATGGCATAGTATTACATTACTTACAGTACAAAGAAGATGTGATTATGTGATGTGTTATGATCATAAAAGCAGGAAGGTCATGGATCCGTCCACATTCTGTGCCACTTATTTCCAGTATAGTTGGGATAAAGCGGCCTGTCATAGGACAAGTGGTACAGAGTACCCTGGCCAGGCTACCATACTATCACACAGGGAGGATCACAAACTAGTATTTCCTGGTTTATTTTCACTGGGTATTGTTCTGAAAGTGGGAACTACCTTAAAGAGCAAAGGAACCAAATTTTTTTGTTTGCCCCTTAAAATGGAACCGATTTATCCACAAGTGCCGGACTACAATGGGTGATGTCATGACCGGTCTGACCGATCAGATATGTTCTGTGAGATCATTTTGTATTGGGTTAAATTTATATATATCATATTTTGTGTTCTCAAGTTCTTGAATGCTTATCTTTTTTACCAATTGAGAACAAATTATTATTCAAGTATTTTTATATCCATATAATTCTTTTGGATCGGAGTGGTTAATAATAATTTATGATCACTCCTTTGATCTTTATGTGTGGTCTTGAATTTTTTTCACTGGTGTCGACTCAGCATGGCTCAACTGCACTCGTTTTTCTTTCTCCCATTTTGATTAGGGTCTGGCCCCTCCTGACAGTTAACTCAATAATACCATATCAGATAAGATACATATGGTTTCTGAAATGGTTTGCATCTGAGAGGTTTTGCATCATTTAATGGTAAAATCTTTGCTCAAAACCTTGTTGAGCACAATCATATATATATTCATATATAAAATGCCAAATAAAGACTTAATTACAAAAAAATCTCTGTGAGGCTGTTTAGGGCCGACGGCAGACCCGCTTATGATTGGTCACATCACTCAATGAGTCAATGAAGCGAGTCCTTCTATCTCAAAACACGCAACAGCAAACGTCCCTGTTAAATAATTTTTTTGATTAAATCACAAAAGTATCAACGTATCATATCAACGTTCTAAATGCCTAGTTTTAAATGCCTAGTCTGCAGTCCAACTCCAATATTAGGCCGTTACGTTGCTTTCGTCCCCCGCTTGTTGTCGCATTCAAATGACGTACTGGGCCGGTCGCCATTGAGCAGTTTGAAATGAGAACATTTTAGATTTTAAAGAATCCTTTTAAAATACCCTAACTACGCTCAAATTTTAGTGAGTTCCCTTTGAAATGTTTCAATTCCAGGGACTTTATTTAACTGATAGTTTGGCTCATAAAATGGGCATTTACAGACTGGGTTGCTTAAGTGAAGAAGTGCAAAGCTTATATGCTAATAACCAAGTTAGGTGTTCAGTCGCAGTTAACGTTGCTTTTATTTATTTTTTTAAAGCAATCTGACTTTGGATTTTTACTTTTTGTTTCTTACCAAAATTTAGATTTTATAAAGTAAAATTAATTTTCCTAAGGACGATACCTTCAAATATTAGCAATTTGCTGTCAACAGGAAAGCCAACAGTCCACATGGAGGTGGTCTGGGTTTTGAAATAGTTAAGATTAAGCCCAGTATAATGGGGTTTTTTTAACGATGCTGATTTCTTTCACAAAGTCACAAAATAAGGAATATAAATACAAGGAAATATTTATGTCTTGACGCAATCGAGACAAAGGAAAAAGCTACATTCTCGCCACAAGTAAAGCATTTATGTTAAGCTTAAAATAGCAGGTTCTCCTCACTGTTCTCAGCAAATGAGATTCCCATTTAGGGTGGCTCATTAAAAAAGAAAATCTTATTACTCTCCTGTGCAAACCTATAAATAGTGTGCATTACTGACAGCGAACCCCATACACCAAAAAACGTCCCTTTGAGGTAAAGTCACACTGCGCATGTGCTCTGCATCTCCCCACTCCCTCTCCTCTTGTCGTCTTGGCAACAGACAAGAAGGAGGGAGGGGGAGGCTCTCGCCCAGAGAGAAGGAGAGGTATCCAGGCTCATCACATGACCGTTGGTTTCACCGTTTTCTCAGTGTGGATAATTATATTTGTTTCTGGATCCGAAGTGACCACAGGGCAGTGGCAAAAGGCTGCTTTCTCCTCGTTTTTGATAAACTGACCGGGAATCGGTAAGTGTGCCACTCCCGGGCCGGCCGTTAGCGGGCTGCGTTTAGCAGCTAGCTAACAGAGCTGATGCTAACCGCAAACGTTATCATCCAGCATGACTGGAGTCAGACAAAAGGGTGGTAGGCTGACCCGGTGTAATGTTCTAACTGCTATTCTATAGTTTTTATTTAAATAGTCAGCGTCTCTCCTACCGTTGTAAGCCGTCGCTCCTTGCGTTAAACTGCCCAGAGACCACTTTTTTTTTTTTTTTAAATGACACATTTTAGATATCACGTCACAAATATCACGCACTATAATAACTTGACCGTGGATTTTTGAGCTGCGAACGTGAATGTGCGAGGGCAGGAGGGGAGGGAGAGGCCGGGCAGGGTTGGGATGAGCGCTCATTGCAGTAAGCCAATGTGACAACCGCTGCCTCAGTGACCTGTGTGATCCGGAGTGAATCCACAACTCACTGAAAACACAGCAGCAGGCCCCTCCATATGCACTGGCACTGGAGGGCTCGGAGCGGCTGCGTCTTGGCCCGGCCTCCTGCCTTTTGAAGAAACCATCTGCTGGCTTCACGTAAAAGGATCATTTCACTAAGCATCTTTTGGCAAAAAGCAGTGTCACAACCACAAGGCTTACTCTGAGTTTCCTCTCAGAATCTGAGATAAGGCAATTGGGCTCTAAATGAATGCTGATTAGCAATGATATAACAAACGGTGGGCTTTCTGCAGAGGTTTTTTGTAATTAATTTAGTTTCTTTATGTTCACAGTAAGTGCCAAATGTTTATTAAGTCTTTGACTTACAATTGACTTGTCAGAATGTCTCAGTTGAATGGGGCAAACGGGTGGCCTGCCTACCCGCAGTGGTTCTGAACATGCTGTGTATGTATTTGGATCGATTTTGGAACAACAAAAAAAGTATCTAAAACATTTTTTGTGAGCCAGAAGGACTTCTGCTGGTAACTGGCAATTTTCTTTTTACACCTGTTATGATCCATAAGGGAAGTTGTTAACCTGGTTGAGAAATCCACCCAGTTTTCAGAAACCTAAAAACTGCAAAATATAATACTTTAAAAGCCAGATGAGTTGAGAGGGCGGGGGACATTTAAGATGTAGACCATAAAAAAATGATCAAGGTAGTTCAAATGTAATTCAAATATATTATCTTGTTATCCTTTTAAGCCCTGATTAGGGGCCTAGGCTGGTTAATTTAATCTTCCAGTGAACTTACACTTTCATGACAATCTTGAAGTCTTCTCTTCAACTCTTCTTCATTTAAGATTTTTTTTAAAACACACAATGTGTAAGCAACTCAACACCCTAACCCAATGATCATGACCTCTGAAGGTATCTACCACAGTTTTTTATTCTGATTTATTCATAGTTTTATGCAATAGTGAGTTAAGATTTGTGGTAGAAGGGCGTCTGATTGAATGACCAAATCCCCTCCTCCAAGTAAATGTCCTATCTATTGATATTAGTCTAAAAACCAAAGTGGGCTCACAGCAATACTTTGCTAACTGATCCATGATATTAATGCCCATAGATGCAGTTAGTGTGATATTACAAGCTCAGCGTCTATCATAAATTAGTGGGATTGATTCATTCCAGAATAAGGTACCACCAATAATTGCAAGAGATGTTGAAATTTTGATAGAAATATGGTCTTTTCCTTGGTGTCATTAAGCTGTTTTATTTACATAAAAGGGTCAGTTCCAGTGATATTCCAAGGTGATTGTGGTAAGCCAAAATAACCGGTGCTTATGTGATTACATAAAAGCTGCAGCTCATACACTTTTATAGTTAAATGGAAATACACTTACAGTTAGCGATGCAGCAAAGGGACATTACTATTACAGAAATGGTAGAAATTGTAAGAATGGTATTCTTTTTTATGCCTGATGCTGTCATTCTGAAGACTTTAAGGAAAAATATGTCAAATTAAATCCTTTTTAATAGTCTTTTACGATATGTATTACATATATGGATGTACAATGTTTGTACACCCACCAAACATCTTATTAATATTTGAAGCACAGCTAAATCCCAAATGCATTTTATCCATAGTGTTGTTGGAAACTTGACAAAAGCTGGGTTCCCTTTACTAAGCAAAAGTAATCTGATAGGATCTTTGAAAAGCCCCCAATAAAGAATGTGACCGAGAATTTGAAATATTCCTTTTAATTAGTTTTTGGTGACCTACCTACTCAAGATTATGCTACCAGAGCATGAAAGTACATCTACAATTGTAGTGGTTGTAATTCAGTCGAAGAAGTAGTTTTAAACCTAATGGAAAAACATTTAAAAAAACAAAAACAGTGGACAATCAGAGGAAAGTTGGGCTCTTCTTTGTGACTTATTCTCATTTCTGGAAGTGTATTTACTGGGAAAACGGCATCAGTCCTTCGCTAGCTCAGTCCAAAAACAGCTGGTGAGTCATATAATTTAACCCTATTATTTGAAAGCTCTCGCAGAGCAGATGTAATTCTCAAAAAACAGCAATGTTAGCCTGGGGAATATAACCCTGCTGGTGTCATGATGACACAATTTTTCTCAGGCATTAATTTCCGCGGCTTCTCAGCTGGTGTTTTTTTTCAAAATCAAGCCAATCCTAAACACGTTTTACTCCACTGATCCCGAGCTTAAGAATACTTCAATTATTTTAAATGACAGAGGACACAAAACAGCCACCAACAAGAAAACATACTTTATTGTGTTTCATCTAATGTACCACTGACCTTATGATATCTGCAGACCTTCAGTTTTATATTTTAAAGATCTTTATGAAACAATGGCTACTTAAGATTTTGGTAAAGAGAAACATTTTTGAAAACCTTGGTTGTTTGCACATTAGGGCCGACCATATGAGCCTGCTGCAACAACCTATTTCCTAAATGTAGATCAGGTAAAGGGACCAGAGGCCTCACCTCATCCACTGACCTACATTATTGTCTTCCCTCTCTCTTTCCCCCCCCTATAGACATGTCAGACATCGTTCCACCAGAAGTTAGACCCAAACCAGCTGTCCCAGCAAAGCCCCCAAACGTGGGGGCTCCCTCTCCTTCTAACCCTTTCCCGCCCCAGGGGCCAGGTATTGGAGGAGGTGGCATTTCTGCTCTACCTCCAAGCGCCATTCCAGTTCCCATCGGAAGTCATGGTTCTGGACACGGGGGCAATCACATTGTGGGTCACAGTGTGGGGCATGCTCCCGGCCACACTGGGAGCCACGTTGCGGCGCACAGCGGAGGTCACAGCCACGGAGGTACCCACGGAGGTCCTCACGGAGTTTCCCACGGAGGTTCCCACAGCACCAGTGGAGGATCCACTCTACTAGGTTACATTGGCATTGACACCATCATTGAGCAGATGAGAAAGAAGACCATGAAGACAGGCTTTGACTTCAACATCATGGTAGTTGGTAAGGCAGAGCGGACATCCCTCATACCCGGATCCTTCCTTGCTTAGTTTTTCTCCGACCTCACTCCCTCTTCGACTTTTTCTTCCTGTCTCACCCCCGTTTCACCCCTCTCAGGTCACAGTGGCCTCGGAAAGTCGACTCTGGTCAACACCCTATTCAAGTCGCAGGTGAGCAGGAAGAGCGCAGGATGGGGGAGAGATGAGAAGATCCCCAAAACCGTGGAGATCAAGACAGTGTCTCATGGTAGGTAATGGGAAGCGTATCCCATCTGTTCTGTCCTGTCTATAGAACCAGCCGTTTGAATTAGCTTTAATTTGACAAAGAAAACGAACAGTCTCTTGACCATAACCACTAAGGTCCCTATTAGGGTTGTCCCGATCGGATATCTGGATCGGATCGGCCGCCGATATTCTCAAAAAACTGCGTATCGGCCGGCATGAGAAAATACCGATCCAGACTGCCGATCCAGTTTATTTTAAAAGTCCGATCCCACACGAGCATTTGCAGCTCCTAACCCACAAGTCTGTGTTCTAACCATTAGGTTGTTATAAGAGTTAATCCCTGGTCAATATGAGTCTGACAACTAAGTAAGTAGGCTAAATAACTTTAATACATGCTCTGATAGGCCGGCATCGGTATCGGTATCGGATCGGAAGTGCAAATACAATATCGGTACCGGATAGGAAGTGAAAAAAGCTGGATCGGGACATCCCTAGTCCCCATTGCTGCCAAAAGAGATCGCTTTAGATCCCCAGCTGAGATACAAATGCAGATGCCAGCCCCTGCCTCTGCCACAGGCACTTTGATTGTGTACTTGGACCCTCCGTTCACTATGATCACTGATGTCAAGCTACTCTGGGTAATTTAATATTCCATGATGTAGATAAATCAGCATGTATATATAACATCTATATATCCAATTAAATGACACACTGATACTTTATTATTGCAATAAGAGGAAAGTGTCAGACTTTCTAATAGTAACACTGTTTTTAAGACTTACATTATGAAACTGCTAAGGGTGTTAATATGTAAGACTAAAGCCACCATTCATGTTTCGGCGAAACAGCTTGGATAAGAACTGGCACCTGAAAGTCTCAGGACATAATTCTAAATGTGGATTTTACTCTTTTGGGAGTCGGTAGATAAGAAGTCACAGAGTTTAAGTCTTTCAGAGTCTTAGCCCATTGTTGGAAGCCAACAAAGCAGGAGATTGACAAGCAGATTTAACAACTTTTCTCTGCTGTAGTGAAGATAGAGTTGACCCCAAAAGGCAAAGCTGATTTTCTGGTACATGTACATTAGTGCCTTCATACGCAGCCATGAGCTGTTGGTAGTGACTGAAAGAATGAGGCCATGAATACAAGCGATGGTAATGAGCTGCTTCCGAAGCATGTTTGGCCCTCATCCTTAGAGACATGATGAGGATCAGAGATGAAAGGCTGCTCCTCCGCATAAAGAAAGCCAGTTGTGGTGGTCAGGAATACGGTTCAGATGTCCACTTGATGCTTCCCAGGAGAGGTGTTTTTTGGATATGTTCTACCAGCTGGCGGCCTCAGGGCAGACCCAGGAATCACTAAAGAGATAAGACCGTCAGTGAGCTTGAGAACATGTCAGTATCCTTCAGGGGGGAGCAGTTTAGGGGTCTGGAGACCTCAGTTCAGACTTCTGCTCCTGCATGGTGGTCCCGGTTAAACGATAGAAAATTGGCTGACAAATGGATGTCAGTGGGTGGAAAGTAGCCCTTATAGGCAACAGCCAGTTTTAGTCTGTGCAATCCTGGGTGAATGAACTGACAGCGAATCCCTGGGTGCCTGGACAGAGAAAAGAGGGGTTTTAGCAGCTTTGACAAGCTGGACCTATGACCTCCAACAAGACATCTGCCCGAAAGGAAGATTCAGTAAAAACTGGTCAAACTGCAAACAAGGGAAAGTCATATAATAAAGCTTCCATTCAGCAACCGCTGAGTGATACAGAGCTTTAAAAAAATGAAAGGCCGACCCGGAGGAAGAGAATGACAGAGTGGAATGAGTCAGTCACGCAGGCCCTGAAACGTTTCAGCACGAAAATAGGCGGAAACTCATGTTCTTTTACCAAAAAACATACGTTTTCTCTTGATTCTCTGATACAATCCTGCCCCCAAATACATTTGAGCTCACAGTACAACGGTAGGGATTTGAAGTCTTGCCAAAAAAAGAAGGGAAAAAAAAGATACAAAAAATGTTGGAACATCTCTTAGCTAATTAGGTTAATTGGCAGGATGTCAGCAACATTCTAAGATATAAAAAGAGCATCTCGGAGAGGGCTAGAAAGAATGGGATGGGCCACCACTTTAAAAAGTCTATGCGAAGACAGTCTTCACAATTAAAGAATAAAGTGGAAAACTTGCAGCTTACATGTGGATTTCATCATCTCCAGCACATCTGATCAAATATGAGAAGCGCTGACAACATTTAGTGCATTAAAAAGGGAACTAAAGAAACAATCCTAGGCTGCTAAAATCCAATATTTCATATGGCTTTGCTTTGCAGTGTTTGTCTGCCTGGTAATTTCTGAATGAAACAGCTATGAAAAAGCAACTAAAATAAGTCGAATTTCATATATGTGAGACTGACGTACACGACTGTGACCTGATGTGAACCTGAAAATATTCACAGCCATGACAGCAGACAATTTTTAGAAGGGAGAGAGATGTTCCCATGGTAACAATCAGCCATCCTGCTTAAAAAGAAGAGTGACACAAAGAGGTAGATGAAGTTCAACTTGTGGTCTTTGCACAGAGTTGTGGAGCGAGGAATCGGGGACTTTTATCTTGTGTCGCCTCCACTGCGTTTGATTTTAAAAGCTTTCTGTTGAGATAAATGGTGCTAAGCAGCAAGCGCTGTGAAGTGCAGAGTAGGATTGTTCAATGCTTTTCTGTTTGGTCTTTGAAAATGTCTGACTTCGGTCCCCCGGATGACTGCTACAGTGTCCATCCAGCTGAGTAGACTCGGCGTGTGGCGCACTGGACTGTTGTTCCTCACAGCAGGCATTTATGGTGACGTCCCGGCCCCAGAAACAGGAGGATATGCAAAATCCTCCTACTGAGCACAGCGCTTTGTGGCTAGAGTTTACACGATCATACACACAAGGCCTGCGGCTGGCAGTGACCCGACATCATTATGCTCTTTTAAAATCAGAATAGCTTCAGAGAGACTGAGAAGCGGAGCAACCTCACAAGTAGGCATAAAATGAAACCCTAGTTAAAACATTTGCAAGTTTTAATACCTGTTGAACAACTAAATTTTCAATCATTTATGAATAAACAAGCTTAGTTAAAGGATATAAACTGAAACTGTAGAAAATAGTTTGTTTAGAAATTTTTAAAAATCATTTAAAAAAATCTCATCTCAGGCGGTGGTGTGGTAGTTAGCACCATTGTCTCACAGCAAGAGGGTTCTGGGTTTGTCCCTGGGGGGAACAAGGACCTTTCTGTGTGGATTTTTTTATTTTCTCACTGTGTCAGAGGGGGTTCTCTCCGGGTTCTCCAGCTTCCTCCCACCGTCCAAAAAACCTGCATGTCAGGTTGATTGGACATTACAAATTACCCTTAGGAGTGAGTGTGAGTGGTTGTTTGTCCCTGTGTGTCTCTGTGTGGCCCTGCGATGGACCAGCGGACTGTCCAGGGTGTACCCTGCCTCTCGCTCATTGACTACTGGGTTAGGCTCCAGTACCCCCGCAACCCAGTTAGGGAATAAGCGATTACGAAAATGGATGGAATCAGGTGTTTTTCAGACTTTCAAATGAAAAATCTGAAGAAGAAAGTAGCTCATTCCAGTTTTAACCAAAAAATCCAGGTGTTGACCATTTTATGTCCCTGCTCTGGGATTTTTTTTATAGCCAAGGATGATCATCCAGTTGTACTGCCTGCTTCTGGTTTACATTTGGTAGAAATGCACTTACATTGGTGACGAGCAGCAGTTGATATATTGCAGGAATTAAATCGGGAAAATACTCCCAGCCATCACACCTCCACCCCCGTTCAGCTTTGGTCTGCACCAAAAACTTTGAATATTTCATTCAAAGGATTCTTTGATGTGTTTTACATCCCTTGCCAGGTTCAGAAGCTCCTGAGCTCCACAGCTGGTCTGGTTTGGACATTTTTTCTTCAGCACTGCCAAGGGATAGATCCCAAATAGCAAACATGCCACAGGGTTCATACCCTGTCATTATGGGTGGTTGATCACAGCTGCCATCATTCTTCTGAGACGCTGGGCAAGTGGCTGAATTGGCCTAAACGGTGGAACATGTCAGAGAATGTCACTTTGAATCAATGAGTGTGTTAGTTTAAAACTTTACAGCCAAAACAGGACAGCTTTAGGGAGTTTTTGAACTGCCTTGAAAAGAGAAGGAGACTTTTATTTATGTGTGATCAGCTTGTTTTTGTTTCATCTTTCACTTTTGTTTTCTTTTGATTCAAAAGAATCCTAAAATGACATGTTCAATGTGGCGTGTGGATTTTTTCTTTTCTTTCGGTAGTGATTGAGGAGGGCGGCGTGAAGATGAAGCTGACGGTTGTGGACACGCCAGGCTTTGGAGACCAAATCAATAATGACAACTGGTGGGTTTCCTAGGTCTAGAATGCTTAAAACCTCATGAAACTACCCTAACTTGCCAGGAGCAGTCTTTTGTTCAGGAGTGGTGTGGTTCCACTGCGCAGAAATCTCAAAGCGTCCCTCATTCCTGTGCATTGAGCTTTTTTTAGCCATAGCTGCTTCTTCGCTCATTCATCCAATGCACTCTAACCGGATTGTTTCCAGAGGAATGTGTTTGCTTGTTAAACCGCTTAACTCTGATCCGTGAATCATTTAAGCATCTAAAACACATCTAATGCAAGGTACCAAGATGCATTGTGTTTGACAGACACCTCAGAAAATAACCGATTTTAAAAAGTCTCTTTTTTTTCTATGTCTAATTAGCTGCATACATTAGCAAGGTGTACAATGTCTCTTAAGAAAAAGAGTATACTCATTAAGTGAAGGACAAAAAAATGGAATAGTGAAAACACCACCTACATCTTAAAGTAGTATCTTCCAAAAAGTGGGGTGGAATCCAGCAAAGACAGCAAAAACACAAGAGCTCTTAAAGCTTGTCTCAAAAGCCTTAAGACAAGGTTTTTCAGTTTTTTTTTTTTTCATACACTGTATTTTCATCAGTATACAGTACTGTGGCTGCTATAGCTTCAATGCTAAGTTACAATGCTGTCTTTTTGTTGTTTGTTTTTTTGTCTGTTCTCAAACCTAACTGCTCTGCTACGGACGCAGCTGGGAGCCCATTTCCAAGCACATCAATGAGCAGTTTGAGAAGTTCCTGAAGGAAGAGGTCAACATCACCAGGAAGAGGCGCATTCCTGACACCAGAGTGCACTGCTGTCTGTATTTCATTTCCCCGACTGGACACTCGTGAGTGAAATTTTGGCAGAACTAGAGATAAGCAGAGTTTAAATAAAAAAAAAATGCCTGTCCTTTACAGGAAGAGTCGATGGAGAAAAAAGAAAACCTCTAATCCAAACACTTTTCACATTTAAAAAAGGCCTTTACTTCATAGTGCATACAACTCCTCGGTCCCCTCAAGGCACCCACAGCTTATGTATTCCTAGCAGTGAGTCAACCTTTTTCAGGGTAAATGAGACAGACGGGATGCTATGTGTGCTGCAAATAAACGTTTAAACCCGACCTTATTTTTCCTTTAAAGATCACTCGCCCTTTAAATCTTTTGTAAGTGAGGTAGAAACTTAAGAAAAGCTCGCCAACGTCTTCGTCGTCATTTCATACTGACTCGCTCTCTCCCTTTTGCCCGTCTGCTTCAGTCTTCGGCTGCTGGACGTCGAGTTCATGAAGCGCCTGTGCCACTCGGTCAACATCATTCCTGTTATTGCTAAGGCCGACACGATGACCATTGAGGAGAGGCTAGAGTTCAAACAGCGGGTGAGTTCCCGTATCAAACACGGTAAACACAGCAACACAGTGAGACATCGCAGTCGGTTATCTACAAGCACTGTGTGGACGGGTGTTTTTTTTTCTTTATTTGAATGCCTTTCCTTTTTTGCTCTAGGTAAGAAAGGAGCTGGAGATGAACGGAATTGAGTTTTACCCCCAAAAAGAGTTTGATGACGATATGGAGGACAAAAGTGACAATGACAAGATCAGAGTGAGTGGTGTTGGTCTCTCACATCTGTCCTTCCAGCCCACACAGCCATCGGCCCCTCTACTTGGAGGAATGTCAGGGCTTTTGGGCATAGTGTTGACTTTTAATCTTATGAAACTTGAGCGACTTTTTTTTTTCCATTAAACTATGTTTAATGTCTCGTTCCCCAGGAAACGATGCCCTTTGCCGTGGTAGGGAGCGATAAAGAATACCAAGTGAACGGAAAACGGGTTCTGGGGAGGAAGACGCCGTGGGGAATCGTAGAGGGTGAGTGTTTTTAGTTGTGAGATTAAATTAATCTCAACGGCTTTGCTGCAGAGTTTAAATCGATCTTTTGATTGTGTGTTGTTGTTTTTTTCTTTTTACTTTCTTGTTTGCTCTAGTTGAAAACCCAAACCATTGTGAGTTTGCTCAACTAAGAGATTTCCTGATCAGGTGAGCTAACCTTTTTTAAATAGACATTCATGAAACTTTGCAATGAAATGGAATAAAGAGGTCAATTGAAAAAATGGAAAATCCTAACCCTAGAAACAAACAACCACACACACACACACATTCACTCCCAAGGGCAATTTAGAGTCGCCAAACACCCTCACCTGCATCTCTTTGGACTATGGATGTATCCGAAGAGAATCCTCTCATTGATTGGGAGAGCATGCAAACTCAGCATCGAGTTAGTTTTGGATTTTAATCAAATGTACGCAGATTAATTCCTTCAATTATAGAAACTGAAAAATAGGGACAAAATGCCCTTAGACATTTTACAACCATATTGCATCGAGCATTATACTGCATTCACTCTCACGGTTTGGGGTGTGCATGGAGGAGTACGAAGAAGAAAAACTGTGAGCAACAGACAGAACTGATGACCAGAGGAGAGACGAGATACAGCAGAGGACTGGTGGAGGGAGAAGAGTGGCATTAATGACCTGAATGGAAAATTACTGTCGAAAATAAGGGTTGAGATGGCGAGCAAACACAGAAACCAGGAAAAGAAAATATATGAGAACAAACAATCAAGAAAAAAAAACAAAAATAGCACAATACAATTGGAAAATAAAACAAAACAAGTGAAATTCTAAAAGAAAGAAATGACCAAAAACCCAGAGGAAACCACAATCCCCAACACCAGTCTATCAATCCCTAGTAGATTCTGATAGTGTTTCCATATGGTGTGTCAATCTGGTTCTTATGGTCTTCGACAGGTCTCACCTGCAGGATCTGAAGGAGGTCACTCATAACATTCACTACGAAACGTACCGTGCCAAGAGACTGAATGCGAACGGAGGTCTGCACCCCATCGCGTCCAATGACACCCAGGAAAGCAACCTGTAGGCAGGGAAAGGAACGGGTCAGGAATAGAGAGAAGAGTGCAGTGAAGCTTGTGGATGAATCTATATAAAATGTTTTAATCATTGTCACCTCAGCGTCGCTGCATGTATGGGAAAAAATTCAGCCTGTATAAATTGGTGTCATTTAAATATTCAAGCTTCACCCGATCCTTTACCAAGCTCCTTCTCCGTCAGACATATCAATCTCTCATCCATCTTTGTTTTAGATGTTAACATTTTTCTGTAGAAATATAGTCAGAGACTTAGTGCCATCACTTAATAAACATAACACCTACTGCCAATGCCTATTAATTTCCCATGTACCAGTATACTCTCAGAGGGGGCCACGTTATCAGCTGTGTGAGAGGCTTGTTTTGAAGTTTTAGTATTCCATAGTAACTCCCTTTGGACTTTATACAAAGAGAAATGTTTTTTTTATCATTAAAACTCAGCTTCTGGCACTAGTCATTTATTGTGAGCTCTGAAGCTAACTCAAAATGGCTCCTTTTAAACTTCTTAAAACAGCAGCTGGAAGTCATTTTACAGGCAGGAGGGCCAAAGAAGTGTTAGAATCTTGTTTGTCAGGCATTTCTCAAGAAGACAATATATTCGATTCCCAAACTCAGAATAAGGGTTCATTTTAGAGGAAATGTATTATATGGCGATACAGCACTGAAATGCAGCTTGTTGACGTTATATATTTGAGTCCACCGGGTGAATTAGTACTTTTGGATTTGTACTTTCAAAATCTTTCTCAAGGATGAGTCAAGAATTTATAGAAAGACACAGTTCCGCAGGGTTGTTTCAGAAGGAAAGGAGAAATCCTGTCACCACACTGCTTTTGTACATCTTATCAAAGTCACCGAGGACTTTGCTCTAGGGATTAAATCTTCGATATTCCATATCTAGGTTGAGCATTATAGATTCAGATAGATCTTGCAACATGTGTTTCCACTTTAAAGACGATAGACTTTTTGGTTAAATTCATTTAATCTCAAATATTCTTTAACCGGATTATAGATTTAAATTTTCTTGGAGATATTGATGGTTTTGAAAGATTTTTTTTTTTATTTAACATCTAGGCACTCTAGAAAAAACTATTTAATTTTTTGGCAGGTGACAGGAAAAGATATTGCTTAAGAAGTAGGTTTATGTCTCGCGAAATACACATGAACACATCAGAGGCATCTAGATGTGGTTGCCATTTGTAGAATCTAAATTTCTCTCGCTCACCACTAGGTGGAAGCACCTATTAACGTTAAAGCAGTGGAATCACAGAGACACTTTGACCAATTTGTGTTTGCCTCAGGTGTGTTCAGTCATTGAGGTTGTTTTTTTTCTCATAGTCCTTTTTTCGTTTGGAGTAATTTTACCATTATTTTTACAGCACTTATACCCTCCACTAATGCCAGTGGTAGCCAACATATCTGTTTCAGGTTTACATGAAACTTTAATATGACCCCATTGTGAAACACTTGAGTTGTCAACATGTTTACCAAGTTGTCATCAGGAAATTCTACATTTATATTGTTCTGCCATGTACAGTCCGCAGTGGAGAACAAATATGCCAAAACTACAGATGCAATTAATATTTCAGTATTAATTCAATTTTCAGTTTAAAAAGTAAACCATGTTTTTTTTATTATGTTTATATGAACTGTGTGACAAAACATTAATAGTTGTGATTTTGGTGTATTTACAGGTGTTAAAGCAGAAATTGTGAGACACTGTTAAAGAACAATCTCTTTCTGTTATACTTGTGCTTGCATGCCCGTGTCCATTCTGCCTGTGTGCTTACAGCAAGTTATTTTGCTTATCACTGCAACTTTACAACAACTTACTGGTTTTGAATGTGCAATGTGTGCATTCAAACTGATTTATCATAAGATGAAACACTGCAATGACTACAATGTTTACCCCTTAAACAAAAGCAATGACCCACCACACATCACATCACTTACGCCATTTCCCATAACTTCAGTGTATTTAATGGCCGTTTGTTGCTGTGATACATTTTAGTCATAATTTCCTGTGTCATATGGAGTTATTTTTACATTGGTGTATTATTCTTGTAATTTATTCTTTATTTAATAAAAACACTTGCCCACATTTTTTGGAATTTTTACTTCTAATTGAAATATTCATGTTTGGTCTGGAGGTCAGATCAAGGCCTTGGGCCCTGTGCAAGTGTACTGTGTTGTTAACATAGTTTGTCTTTATTGTATAAAGCGTCACCCATGACAAAGCACAGTCAAACAAAGTCATCCGGTCCTGACCGATCCCAACCCAGACCTACTAAATGCAGAGACAGTGTGGAAAACAACCAAAGTAGATAACGGGTGCTAATATCATGCACTTTATTAACTGGTAATCAGCAAATGTACGAACTTCCATAGAGAGAGAAATTATGGCAGTTTGCTGGTCTGGGGCATTGGTGTGTGTATTTGCATAATGCCAAGGAGGAAAGCGACTTGTAGATATCTTAGAAAAGTAACTACTGCTGTCCATTAATACCCCCAAAAGTTCAGCCTAAAATCAGATTATGGAATAGTTTGAGAATTTTCGACCATTCCAAAAGCTAGATCTCTGATTCAAGATAATTAATGTTCAAGTTACGTACTGAAGTAATAATATTATTTTCTGTAGGAAGCCAGGAGAAATTCTCAGTGTTCTAAGAATAAACACCATCATGCTTATAATTGTTTGGGTATATTTGGCTGTGGAAGGTCATTGTGCACAAGCAAATGCCAGTAAATCAAATCTGCAATAAACTAAAACAATGTCAAATGTGTGCTCAAAATGCACCATAAAAAGGGAGAAGGCCTTACTCACTGAACCATCCAAAGTGTACCAAGACAATTTCCCACTAAGAACGAAGAGGGAAAAAGTCTATAGGACATCATACCAGCCCAAAGCTATAAAGTTCAAAGAAGAATGTGAATCCCCACAGGAAAAAAATGAAATTCAACTACCCTGTTTTACAGAAATATGAAGCTTATGCCAGAAAGCACATGTCTGATAGCCCTCTATCAGATGGTAAAAAAAAGACATGAAATTGGGGCCAAAGTGAAGCAAACACCTGTCACCTCCTCCGACTAGATACATCCACTTTTGTAATCTTCAAAAGGTTGGGGACCTGGGGGCATCCTAACCATACTTCTGGCCCACCTCAGTGGTCTGAATAAACTTATGAGTTGAAATGAGTGCCCCCCATCTGCTGTAATTGCTGCAGATCACCAGTTGTGTGACATGTGGGATGGGATAAAACGGACAGACCTTTGAAGCACTTCACAGACACCTGACCTCAGTCTACTGTACATAACACTTTAGTCATCGTCACATACCACACATTTACACAACACACAGGGCTTTTGGGGCTGGGGCGCTGTGTACATTTTTGGGGGGAAAAGTACATTTCCATGGCATAAGTATGTTGGTCAGAGAACTATTGTACTTGCCATGATGCTGGATAGGACAAAAGGAAAAAAGGTAAGAATGGTTAAAAGTAGACAAAATGCAACATGGAGAAAAGAGTACTTGGTCAGGACACAGAAAAGGGGGTACTGGAAGAGCCAAATAGAAGTAGCACACATCAAAGCTCCAGGTTAATGTTCATCTACAGCCTGAGTCCATTGACGTGTTGCCTTGATGAGTCACCCACTGGATTCCTAAAGTCAGTGCTGAGCAGTTTGTTACCACAACTAGCTCATCTAGTCAACATTTCACTTCATACTGGAACTTTTCCCAATTCAATAACTGAACACAGTACTGAACAACTACTGACCCATATTAAACCTGCAATTCCTGGGAAAACCCCTGGAAAAAGTTGTATACCAATAGCTTACTGACTTTCTTCTGTCTAACAATGTGTTTGATACCTTCCAGTCAGGCTTTAGGTACCACAACATCACCGAGACAACTTTGATCAAGGTGACAAGCGATATCCACCTGAACACAGATGCAGGCAAAGTGCCAGTCTTGGTTCTGGTGGACTTGAGTGCCGTGTTCAATACAGTAGACCATTTCATTACAGAGGTTAGAAGACCTGGTGGGAATCTCCGATATGGCTTTAAACTAGTTCAAATCCTTCAGCCACTGTGGGTGCCTCGACAAATTCTCTGAGACCTGGTTTTGTTGTAAGATGCTTTATTTTGGGTACGCGCATGCACTCACACACACACCGATGAGCTACTTTGGGGTTCAAATGGTGTTTCCGTTGTTTCCGTCTCCAGTCCTCTCCTCCCAGGTCCAGCACACTACTGTTTTTATACGAGGGGAGAGTGACTAGCCAACCTATTCTATGTGTGCTAATCACCTCCCCTGGCCCTACTCCCCTGAACCTTCCCCTCACCTCCTCTCCAGCAGCTTAGCGCCACGCCCCCTCCACATACCTCCACCGCCACACTTAGGCTGGGGAGCCCCTTCATCCCCCTCCCCATGGGAAGGGGGGAGGAAGTCGGCCACGACCATCTGCGTCCCAAGCCTAGGTACCACCACGAACTTAAAAGGCTGTAAATCTTAGCCACCATCACATACCACACATATATACAACACACAGGGCTGGGTAGCTGTGCGGAAGTTCGGGTTGTCGGCGTGGCTCCGGGGTCCTGGCATCATCTGAAACTGAGGGCCCTTGGTGGGGGTGGGGCTGTGGAGGATCTCCACTGTCTGCCAGCAGTGGCTTGCATCCCTGAGTGAGTGAGTGAGTGAGTGAGTGAGTGTGGAGGGGGCTTGGTCTGGGACAAGGTTTGGCCTTCCTGTGCTATCCCCGGTTGGGGGGGTTTGTGCCTTGCCCCTTCCTTGCCCCTCCTCGCCGCTCATTGCTGCACTCGCCTGCGGTCAGATTGAGCTCTGGGGTGCTGCACTGGGGTGCTGGGGCGGGAGCGAGTCCGCCCCAGGCTCTTTGCTGGGGGCTGGGGGCGCTCAGGCCCCGGGTCCCGCGCCTGGGTGGTTTGGGCCTGGCAGGGCCGGTAGGCTGCTGCCCCTGGTGCTGGGGGGGGCTCTGCTCCGCTGCCGTCGGGGCCGTACCCAAGGCCTCCTCTGCGGTCCTCTGGGTAGGTGTGTGATGTCCCTGTGGTGGGTTGGCTGATCTCTGTGCTCTGGGGGGACCCTGGTGTCCTGGATCTTGTGCTCCTTCTGCAGCCTCTGGGCTCCTGGGGGAGGGGGGTGCAGTGGCCCTCTGTACCCATTGCTGAGCACATTCATCCATCCATCCATCCATCCATTTTCCGCTGCTTATCCGGGGTCAAGTCGCGGGGGCAGCAACCGAAGCAGGGAAACCCAGACTTCCCTCTCCCCTTCCACTTCTGCCAGCTTGGGGCATCCCGAGGCGTTTCCAGGGCAGCCGAGACACATAGTCCCTCCAGCATGTCCTGGGTCTTCCTCTGGGCCTCCTCCCGGTGGGACGTGTCCGGAACACCTCACAAGGGAGGCATCCTAATCGGATCCCCGAGCCACCTCTTTTCCGGTAAGAGACCATGGGCTCGGTCTTGGTGGCAGTGATCCTTATCCCAGCCGCTTCACACTCGGCGGCTCCAAAGAGAGCTATAGGTCCCGACTTGCTGAAGCCAAGAGGACCACATCATCTGCAAAGAGCAGAGATGTAATCCTATAGCCCCCAAGATGAAACACCCTCAACACCTCGGCTGTGCCTAGAAATTTTGTCCATAAAAGTTATGAACAGAAGCAGAGAAATAGGGCAACCTTGGTGGGGTCCAACTCTCATTGGAAACGGATCCGACTTACTAACGGCAATGCGAACCAAGCTCTGACTCTGGTCGCACAGGGACTGAACAGCCCGTAACAAAGGGCCCGGTACCCCATACTCCTTGAGCACCCCCCACAGGATACCCCGAGGAACACGGTCCAACGCTCTCTCCAAGTCCACAAAACAAATGTGGACTGGTTGAGCAAACTTCCATGACCCCGCTGAGGGTATAGAGCTGATCAAGCGTTCCACGGCCAGGACGAAAACCACACTGTTCCTCCTGAATCCCAGATTCAACTATCTGACGGACCCTCCTTTCCCAGGGAGGCTCAAGAGCACGATGCCCCTATAGTTGGAACACACCCTTCGGTCCCCCTTTTTAAAGAGGGGGACCACCACCCCAGTCTGCCAATCCAGTGGAACTGCCCCTGATGTCCACGCGATGTTACAGAGTCACGTTAGCCAACACTGCCCTACAACATCCAGAGCCTTTAGGAACTCCGGCTGAATCTCATCCACCCCTGGAGGCTTGCCACCGCGGAGCTTTGACTACCTCGTTGACTTCAGCCCCGGACTCCAGATCCTCAGGCTCTGCCCCTCCAATGGAGGATGCGTCTGTGGGATTGAGGAAGTCTTCGAAGTACTCCGCCCACTGATCCACAACGTCACGAGTTGAGGTCAACAGCACCCCATCACCACTGTAAACAGTGTTGGTGGAGCACTGCTTCCCCCCCCCGAGACACCGGATGGTGGACCAGAATCGCCTCGAAAGCCTACGGAAGTCTTTTTCCATGGCCTCCCCAAACTACTCCCACGCCCGAGTTTTTTGCCTCGGCAACCACCCGAGCCGCATGCCGCTTGGACTGCCGTTACCATCAGCTGCTTCTGGAGTCCCACAGGCCAAAAAGGCCTAATAGGACTCCTCGCCCTGACGGCATCCCTCACCGCTGTTGTCCACCAGCGGGTTCGAGGGTTACCACCACGACAGGCATCGACAGCCCTGCATCCGCAGCTCCGGGAGGGTGCGTCATTAATGGAGGCGCGGAACATGGCCCACTCGGACTCAATGTCCCCCGCCTCCCCCGGAACGTGCTCGAAGCTCTCCCGGAGGTGGTAGTTAAAGCTCCGCCTAACAGGGGACCCTCACAATGCATTTGGGCCTCCCGGGTCTCACCAGCATTCTCCCCCACCATCGGAGCCAACTCACCACCAGGTAGTGTTCAGTGGAAAGCTCCGCCCCCCACTTCACCCGAGTGTCCAAAACATGCGGCCGCAGGTCAGCATTGAACTGCGGCCTAAAGTATCCTGGTGCCAGGAGCACATATGAACACTCTTATGCTTGAACATGGTGTTCGTTTTGGACAGTCCGTGCCGAGCACAGAAGTCCAACAACAAAATA